CCCCAAAACCCCAAAACCCCAAAACCCCGCTATAAAGATTATAGGATAATTGTGGTAAAAATTATTTTATCAAAATAGGTTTCCTTATTCATCTAATTATTACTAATAAAACTCTAAGTAATAGAAACTTACTTTTACTTACATTGCTCATTCAGTAAACAAATACTATGATTATCATCTATCTACCACTTATTCTGTTGATAGCCTACTTTGTATGGGATCGCTACATCAGAGTCAAACTTAGAATAAATTACTACGAGAAACAAGGCATTCAGTTTCCTGGAGGTTTTGTCCCGTTTTTTGGTAGTTATCCTAAACTTATTAAATTCATCGAAGAACACAAGCCAAAACAATATCCAATCATAGATTTCATTAATCACACATAAGGAAGTAACCCGCCAACTTATACAGGCATGCTTATTGCTAGATAGCTGTGTTTGATAATCAACAGACATGAACCATTGTAGGATCTCTTTATTACAAAAAACAAATATTTCGACAAACATCCAAACACAGGCTAACTGGTCGGTAAAACATTAGGAGATAGCACTCTTTTTCAAAAGTCTAATGAGCTTTGGGCCAAGAAAAGAAAATCTATCTCATCCTCCCTTTATAAATAAAAGCTGGTACAAATGGTTGAGACTATGAAAGATATTGCTTGTGAGACAATGGCAGAGTGGGAAAAACAGGGAGAATTGGACATAGTTGCTGAGACAGCAAACATGATGATGAAGAATATCTTGGCTTGTGTCTTTGGAAGATAAAATGAGAATCCTTAAGTCTAATACAAGGAAAATGGAGAAATCAAGCAGGTTAAACTTGGATAAAGTATTTAATCGAATATTGGTAAGGGTATTGAACGTGAGTTTTAACTGCATCTTACTCTCTTTCCAGAGCTTTACCATTTTTACTTCACAAAGTAAGATAAGGAACTTGTTTTCAATGTTGATTAAGGCAAAGATTACATAAAAGCTTTGATAAAGAGCAAGAGAGAATAATTTGCAAGGACTGGTAAGTACGAGGGAGACGACCTATTAACAATCCTACTCTAAGATGAATTATTCTAAAATGACGACTCAATGCTTATCGATGAGTGTTTAACCTTCTTTGCAGCTGGCGCTTAAACCACTGCAGTATCCATCACTAATTTCCTATGCTATATGGCTTAGAATTAATAACAGGAGGAGAAATTGAGAAACGAGTTGAAGTCTATTCTTAAGTTCTTCGGCAAGGAAAATAAAGATCTTATCAATGAACTTAACATGGAGATAATTGAGGACTTCAATTATTTGAAATACTGCTTTTACGAATCTTTGAGAATAGAACCACCCATTGTCGTATCTTCAAGCTGTTAAGTGAATGAAGATATGGAAATGTCAGGCGTCACAATTAAGAAAGATGAGATGCTGCTCATCAATATTCATTAGATTCATCATAATTCAGACTAATGGGTTGAGAATGAGCAATACATCCCTGAGAGATTTGATCCTAGTTCAAAGTACTATCTTACTCCTGCAGGTACTCCTAGACATCCAACTTCATTTATTCCTTTCATTGGTGGAAAGAGAGTTTGTCTAGGAAAAACCTTTGCAGAGTATGCTTTTAAGACAATCGTACCCATTATGATGAGTGGTCGAAGATTCAGATTTACAAATGATGAGCATCTAACTTCAAAGCCTCACTACGATGCTTTGATGTTTAAGAAGCCAGAAATTAGAATGAGATTAGAAAAAATATCAAAATCATACTGAATAGTTAGTATCAATTAATGATATCTTACTTCATTAAGAAATGAAAATTTATTAATTTGGCAAAATATTATTTTATTTGAGATTTATTTTTGATTTTTACTCTTGCGGGGTTTTGGGGTTTTGGGGTTTTGGGG